GTGCAAGATTTATTTTGTGTAATCGGTGAGCACTTCTACACACATTGCTGTTGTTGTTTAAATTTGACTCAAGTGCGTCCCCTACATTGATACAACAGTTATATCTTAGTGATACATCATTTGATCTGCACCTGATTTTTTGTGCTTGATCAGTGAGCACTTGTAGACATATTGGTATTGTTTATTCATGACATCACTTAAGCCCCACCTACTCAGAGAAAAAACTGTTGATTATTGGATGACACTTCCAGCTCCGCACTGTATAAGATATTAGACTGAAGCTTGGTTGATTACCACACATGACATGTTGAAAAGCATAAAAGAAGTGCTTGTCAAACATTCGTCACAAAACAGCAGGTCACAATAACTCCTGTCTGGAAGGTCGGATTTCGCATGTACTTGTAAGACCTGCAGCTGGACAACATGGACAAAAGGCGATGTCGAAGATTTGGGAAATGCGCCCCGTGGTGAACGTGTGCGGGATTGGCACGAGAGAGTTTGCGATGGCGACTGGGTGGACTAGCTGGAGCTCCCGCGGTCGCCGTAAGGCCGGAGTGGCGCTTTGCTGCGAGGGCCTCCAATGCTGCTTGCAGCTTTAATTAAAATTTGCAATTAGAAATGCCCCAAAATGACCCTTTGACCCAAAATGGCAGACTTCCTGTTGGTTTTGGCCCAGGGCTCCAAGAGACTCATAGAATCACAGACTTCATAGGTCCTGAGAAGATACAGATGTTCACCGAGTTTCAGAATTATTGGTCAAAAAATGGCTTGGGGCTGAGGGTTTAAAATATTCTAGGGGGCACTGTGGAGGCTATTGGCCACTTATCATGGCTTCCTGTTCAAGGGTTGGATAATGATCGATCATACTGATTTTGGTGTACTTCGGTTCAAAACTGTGGCATTTAGAGCCAAACGTATGGCGACGGCATTACGTCTTACATCGCCACGCCACGCCGCCCACATGTTCCTCCCAAAACTGTCAGTGTTTGAAAGCAAGTTACACCAACATGTCTTCAGTCACTGGACACACTATCATGCTGATCAGGTGACAGGGATTAGAAAGGGATCATTCAACGTAAAGCTTTATACTTCCTGTTGTCAGGGGGCGTGTCTTAAGTGCTGTCTTGATTTGACCTTTCGTTCTTGCAGGGGACCGGATGTGGATCCTTCACTGAAGGTTTGATGTCTCAGACAGTTTTCGTGTAAGAGATATTAGTGTTTCATTTTTCACGGCAAGATGTCAAACTTTGAGGTTTGGCCCCGCCCCTTCAGCATGCTCCAAAACAAACTGTTTAGATAACTTTGCGTCCCCCATGGCTTTTGACCAAAATGGGCAAGTTTGAAACCGACTGAGTGAAATCCCTAGGAGGAGGAGTTCAATTGCGGAGGCTGTAAACCTCCAAAAAGGTGTTAAAATTGGGCCGGAATTTCAAAATGGCCGCCTTCCTGTTTATCGTACAATGTTGGTGCCAGAGGGTTTTCTGTGCATCTTGGAGAATTGGACAAGCGTACCAAATTTCATGTTTCCACAACAAACTAAAGTTAATGCGGAGGGTATTTTAAAAATTTCTAGGTGGCGCTTTTGATCCGTTTCTGTTGGGATATTTGCCACGCCCTAAAAATACGTAATTTTTCACCAGTCCTGATGCGTCCGCCAAATTTGGTGACTTTTGGGATATGTTAAGGCCCAAAACGCCAATTCATTTGGCAAAAAAAATTGCAGCTCGGGCCTGAACAGAGCGATTACAATAGGCCTTTGCAGCACTTAGCTGCTGCTCAGGCCTTAATACACTGCTCTGACCAGAGTCTGCAGAAATCAGTATGTCATTAGAGTCTTTTAACAAGGCAGTTTCAGGAGAGTGCATCTTGCAGAAACCAGACTATAACTTATCCGGAATATTATTACTTTGCTTCCCACTGAGCCACTAACTTCTCCAGAGATTTGGCGAGAAAAGGCAGTTTTGATATTGGCCTGTAGTTGCAGAGCT